AGAGAGAGAAAGAAAAAAAAAAATGGCGCGCTGCGGATGGTCGCCTCCTCCACGGCCATTCACGCGCGGCAAATCAGGCAGTCCGGTGCTGCAGGACTACTTTCTCAGACGTGGCGCAGGCGATGAGGAGGTGGGCTGCTCGCTGGATGAGGAGATCTTGATGATGACGGACGCGGAGAAGGCGGACTTTGCGGAGATGCAGAGCAGGTTGGAAGAGCAGCATCTATCGCAATTCTACCATTATCATTGTCCCCGCCCTTCCGAGGGATGGGTGAGTAACGACGCCATCAATGTTGGGGATCGGCCCCACCGCGGCGTTCGAAGAGGCAGTAGTGTTGATATTAGAGTAGACCTCGGGCCGAGGGCGGCGTCAAGTGCGCGCCCCCGTATCAGTCCAAGCAGGAGCAGCAGCAGTAGAAGAATGAGAGGACGTAGACGCACCAACTCTCTGGAGAGTTATGGTATGCCGACATATCACAGTGCGCAGCGCTCCAGGGAGCGGCGGGTGCTGTATGAGAACCTGCTGGAGGATGAGTTGACGTTTCACCCGCAGATCAATCGGACGAATGTCCTACCGCGCTACCTAGACGACACAGCGCGGCGAACCAAACGAAGTGACGTGGTAGATAATACAGCAGAGGCGACAAGCTTCAAGCCTGTCGTGAACCGCCTGCCGAGCTTTTCCGTCTCAGACCGGCTGAGCCGCTACCTCCGCATGCCGGTCCACAAGCGCCTCGGCGGTGCGGCATCTGCCTCTCCGAGGCGTGCGGAACACCACCACCAGCAGCAGCAGCAGCAAGAACAACAACAACAACAGGTGCGCCAACAGCAACAGCGGAGTGCTGAAAATGAAAACCGGCTTGCGCAGTCGTTTCTGCGGCGCCTCGAAGAAAGTAATCGTCGCAGGGAAAAGAACCTCGAGCGAATCACTGCGGTGCACGAGCGCGAGCTGACACTCCGGCCGGTGCTGGCGCCCGGTACCCGGCACCGGCGTGTGTCGTCGGCTGTCGCCGAGCAGATCCGTGGGAGGCCAACGACGTCCAGTGCAGCGTTGAATGTATGCTCAGAAGAGGATGAGACAGCAGCTGAAGTATCACAAACTCCGGAGCAGGAGAACTACAGTCCACAAATCAACCCCAGGTCGCAGGCCATGAAGCGGACTGTGGATGATCTACGCCTGTTCGAACAGCGTCGACAGCAGCGTCTGCGGCAGCTGCGCGTGGAGCGAGAGGCAGCAGAGCGCGAGGTGATGTCAGGCACGCCAACCGTTAGTATTGGCTCGCGGCGACTGACAGAGAGAGTGTTCGGCGCCGACATTACCCACGACGCCATTCAACAGCACCTGCAGCGCCACGCCCGGATACGCGCGGCTGCACTGCGTGCCGAGTACGAGTCAAGACGGTGCGAGGATGAGGCGCAGCTCACATTCCGACCGGAGGTGCATGCAGCGCCGCCATACGTGCGCGACATTGCGCGGGAGCTGGTGATGAATAAGTCACTCGCACCGAAGGCGTCGAAGCAAAGGCCGGTGTTCTGTTTTTCATGACCTTTTTTGCAGAGGTGGCGTTGGAGAGCAATATATATATATATATATATATA